AACTAGACCTGGATTATGTATTCCTGCCATTATGTAGCACATTTTCTCTCATTCTGAAGCAGGATATTGTGGTTATAAAGAAATAACCAAACTACTGAAGCATTGCTTCTGCCGCCAGCCATGCGGAGCATTAATCACCTAAAAAGGACTGACTATAACAAGTCACCCCATGAATTAAAACGAGCTCTATAAATTGAATCAATTGTACTGCCTTAAAATACTAAAAGTAACCAATAGGAATAGTGTAAAAATCAAATTATAAATGTATTTATTAAGCACATTAAATGACCAAAGTGCTGAAAAAAGGCGCAGTGGATAAAATAAATAAGTGAATAGATGTGAAATAAGTAAAGTACATGCTAGCAGGTGCTAAAAGTGTACAGTTGTAGTTGAAAAAGGCACAGGAGACACAATGTGCAACTCGGTGTCAGAGGCCAATGAAGAAAAATGAGTTTTGTGGGTAGTTTTAGGACAAAAGAGAAGGAGCAGGTTTGACAAGGAGGGCAAATGTGTCCTGGAGAAAACGCGGGACCATCTGAGCAGCTAAGTGTCAGCTGATTGGATCTCCCTTTGCACATATGTAGACATCAATATATTCAAATGTCTCCATTTCCTCCAGCTGCATGTGTGCATTTTAATTAGATGCATTTGTTCTTTTTAAGTTTTACATATTGTCATGCATTTAAAATACTTGACCAGCTGTTAGCGCTGAACAGCTTCGAACCTGCCATTCAGTGCCAAAGCATGTACTCACTAGACATGAGTACTTGAGCCTGTAATGATACCATCAGGATTTAAACTCAAGACTCTTATCTCTCTCTGTTTTTCATATTAAGGTCCAAAGATCAGTTTTGTAATGGCAGAAAAATCCAAAAAAGTTGAGCTCTGGGTTACAGTCATCCTTTTAAAATGTCAACAGTAGCCAAACCTGATTTATATACTTTGTAAACACTGCAGAATACAACAGAGTGGGTTTAAATTTGTCATGTATGAGGAGCTGTGAGCACCCTTTAAGATGTTGCTGTGGCAAGCGGTGTCTTTTCTTAGTATACCTTCTAAGTTGTATATTTTTAATCAGTTTTATTGGATTTTAAAGTGACTTTTCAAGCAACACCTCAGATACCTGAGACATTTTTTAGAAATCACATGGTTTACAGCAAATCTGCTTGGGAAGGGGGGAGGGTGGGTAGTTTCACTGGCAGAAAAACAAAAGTGAAAGTGAGAAGAGGCACAAATAATACTTGTGTGGCTATCTTTACAGCTGCATGTTCGTTAACAAGTGCTGCTATACTTGCATGTGCCTGCTATTGTCTATTGTGGGTTTGTTGTGGGTTTTTTGCTGCTGCCCAAATACATTTGTTAATTGTTTATCATTAGACTTGACAGATCAAAAAGTACCACCAGCGGCCCGCTTGACTGCTGCTCTGTCAACACAAAGAAGGTCTCTATTGATGTGCTCAGAAGCAGAGCAAAGCTTTGAAGTCTTCCTCTCTTATTATCACCTTCATCTGCGAGGCTCTCTTCTAGCCTCCTGAGAGAGTTAAAAATCAGGAGTAGAGTGAAGTCGGCACGTGAGATCCCAGGAGCTACTCTCTCCTCGAATGACTCGGAATCGGGGATGACTGGACATTTTTAGGGCGACTTGTCTCGTTACCTGAGCACTCCAGCGCAGGAGCCCAGTCCAGCCCCTACATTAAAGCGCTGAGAGTAGCCTGCCTCACAGTGTAGGAGAGCACTTAGCAGCTGGTCGAATCTCTCCTCTGTACAAGAAAACTGTTGCTAACCAGGACATCTCTGCATTTGTCTTGTTCTGATGATATTCTCCTAGAGGCTAGAAGAAAATGGAAACGGAGGTGCTGTCAGACAGGAAGTGTTTGCATCGGCAGAGT